AGCTAAGCTTTTGGTTCACATATAGCTTGTCCTCTCAACAATAACCAAAATGCCTCACTAAATCTATAGTCTAAGACTCCCATGTAAATACAAAAGGGAGTACAATATCTTGAAACCAATACACGAGATGATGCCCGCAATATTCTCGAATAAGAAAAGACAAATCAAGTGAGCATATAAGCACCCTGAATGCAGGACTTGTCAGATTTCATTTCTATCCAGAATTTTATCCTCAAAAAGTTAATGTTTTTGTCCCATCTATGACCCAATCTTTACCAAATGACTAGTATGCAATTGGGGATGGAGCAGGACAACAAGTTGAAAGTTAATATCCCCTTGTTCTTCCAAAAAGAAAATCGACCAAAAGCACAATTCCATAATTGTATGGCATGTAGACAATTATCAAAGGAGGTAAGATAAATAAAATAAGAATATAGGCAGGCCAAGACTCTGAAATCGAAACATCAGTAGCTTCTTAAAAACCCTAGCCACCTGGCCAGTCTAAATATCAAAAAACACCCTAACTTTTGCAAGAGACTGCCCAGGCATAGTCCTGCAGTCACACTAAAATACCAGAAATCAAAATCCAAAATAGAGAAAAATAGGTATTAAAGTGGCTCACCAAGCTACTAACACTCATCCAAAGACATTACATAAATTTCAAAGATCTCAATAAGCCACACTGGTACATGAATCTGCTTTAGAGAGGAAGAAGGGGAATGGAATCATGAAGGCAAACACAGATAGTCTATCAAAAGCTTAACCATAGTACATACTTCAAAATTTGCAAACCAGGTTTAAGGCAATATTTAGCATTGTCAAGACCTTGATCATGGAAAGCAGTTGGAGATGCATATTATGCATTTCTAGACTATACAGGTTAATCATCACATTTTCTGACAAGTAAATAACATTCTATTGCAAGAAACAACACCAGGAAAGTGCTGACTGCTAATCCATCAAGCAAAGAAATTTTTATAAGATTGTATACCTCAAAGACACAAAAAACAATTCGACAAAAGCTATACATTTCCCAAGTTGCACCAGAAACATAGCTGCAATACTTGAGACTAGAAACAGATTCTAGTTTGCATGTTGATGAAAAGAAGGCGCTTATCTCAACAGGAATAACTCAATATGATAGGATCTATTTAGTAAGCCTGAGACACCATTTCCTTAAAGTCTAAGGAGAAAAGTAACCACCTCGGGTCGCTGAACCATGATTAGTACATAGAGCATGCTTGTCTGCAACATGGAGCCATAGGCTCCTTTGCCCTAGAGTTATGGAGAGGAAGAGGACCACACTTAGAGCTCCCTAGGTCTAAGATGGTCTAATTGTTGTCTGACAGGCGCCACAGCAAAATCTTACTTTTCAAAAGGAACGCCAAAAAATGAGAAAACAATTCAAAGGACATCTCAGAATCAAGATATAGTACCGCTTCACTTTCACAAGCAGGGAGGAAGTTACAATGGGTGCATCACCTCACCCACCCCTCCCTTGACGAAAAATTATCCAATGCCTTTAGTCTTAACCTAGTATTTGATATTTAGATCACTCTGACAAAGTTAGACTAGCTAGAAGAGCAAAACGCAGCGACCACAACAGCTAATGAAATGCTAGTGAGAAAAAAATGAGCTCTTTTCTTTCAAAGAGAGTTGTTTTAGCTTCATTAGTTGTAAGCAATCATTAGGCCTAAACTTCTAGCAGCTATAGATACACAAACCATTGGGAAAACTAAGAAAAACGGAATGAAGAAAGCAAAGTAGCTACATATCTTCTAATCCGATTCCCCTGTCCTCTTTTGGAGGAGAGTGATCTCTAAATTTACGTATGCATCAGGGCACTCAAATTATCCGTAAAAGTATGTATCTTTTATTGCAGAACTCTGATGAACTAAGATCACAATAGTCAATATCAATTCCTCAGACATGCAAACTATGCCTAAGTAGAACAGAAAATAAAACAAAGGGAAAACCAGTATACAAGTGGATATAGAAAACAACAATCACGAAACTAGTTGAACTAGTTACGACCCCAAGGCTCTGGACGAACTCATTACAGCTGACATAGGGGACTGTTAAATTATTGTAAATAATATACGTACATGAACTGATTACATAACCTAATTAAAGACCTTGAAACTCTACACACCTAGAGGTTCCTTGAGGCAGGACTACTGCAGTTCTATCTGTTTGATTTTGCTGGCCATTGGGATGAATTTGTGTTTGAGTTGGGCCACCCTGTTGTTGAGTCTGTAAAACTTGTTGTTGATGAGGCTGGATCTGTTGTATAATGGGTGTCTCAGCTGCTGTAGATTTCACAGCAAGACCCATTCCATTCTGTCCTTGTGAAGCTTGAGATTTCTCAGCCTGTGTTGAATAATTAGCATTCCGGTTTTGGTAAAACCTGTTTGAGTAACCATAGTTGTTGGACGCCAGATGCTGAATTTTCTGAAGAACTTCTTCCACTGGTGGTGGAGGTCCAGGCAACTTTGCATGTCTATATCGACAATCAGGACCATTTGGACAAAACCCCAATTTGTACCTGTATTATAAAAACCATCATAACCAGCAATAGATGTCATTACCTAACCATATGGCATTTCTCTGAGGTTCTCGCTACTGTCATTTTTTGCTTATTAATATATGTTTACCCTCAAAATCGGATAACAATTGAATTTATAAGTGGTTTTAAGGATACGTGATTTAATTTGATACTAAACGACAAATAAGATTGCAATTGAAATAAGTAATGGAAAAGTGAATGCAAACCGCTTAAGTTGAACAGTCTTAGCCTTTGAAGGTTAGCCACCCTCGAGCCCAAAAATGCTTTTATTGATAACAGAACAACAAGAGAATAATAAGAACTTGAAAAGAATAGTAATATACTGCTTTGGGATGCGTGTTACAAAGTGTTTTATAAGTAATCAGACTCCCCTTTATATAGTAGGGGAGTCTTACCTTAGATACAATTCTATAAAAGGTAAAAATATCCTGGCTTGTTGATTTGCCGGGTCTTTACTGACACCTGCCGAGATTCCCGCCGAAATATCCGATCGGCTACGGATATTTCGGCCTTCCGTTATTCCGGTCAACCGGGTTATTCTATTCCACCTCTTAGAAAGAAAAGAACTTAAATAGTCTCGCGTGTCTACCATTTCACCACCAAGGCATCTTGAAAGTGAATCGTATTTCATGAATATGATATCTATCTAGTGTGATGTACCTATAACTTATGCAAATTTTGATTTTCCGAACTTAGTTAATAAATAAGGCGAGATGGAGACCCTGATTTGGACCCTCGTGTTTTAAACCGGCAATGTTTCCTCGAGCTTATTCGGGGTCAGGGTTGATTCCGGGATCACGGGCTCAATGTTCCTGAGGACGGACATTCTGACCTCGTGTTCTGGTTCGATGAGATTCAGGGTCGATCTTCAACCCTTCGCGTTCTGAGCCCGATCTGTTATGCAATAGTCCAGCCCGATTTCGACCGTATACAGATAGTCCCCTCGTTTTTCGGAGAATAAACGACGAGAAATGATATGAGCTTCCGATATCTCTCCTCGGTACTCCGCGTCAGAAACGACAAAATGAACGAAACGTCTCGTTAGTCACGTCTTCATGGCATTAAATGTTCGTCAGTTGCTGGTCGGCCACTTGTGGCTTTGAACCGTCGTTTGGAAACTATAAATACCCCCTTCTTCATTCATTCAAACTTTTACATCCAAATCTTCTGTACTCTTGTTTTTTAGAAATTTCAACACTTCCCAGTATTAAATTTCTGGCTATTCTGAAATCCTTTCACAAGAACTTCAGCTTTGTTCCCCAACCATCAAACTTAATCTTTAAACTTCCCCTCTTTCCTTCATCTATCAAGGAAATGGCGAAGACTTCAAAGTCCTTTCCCCAAAAAGAAACTCCCTCTGCCTCGCGACCGGCTGTAGAGGAAAACGTTTCGTCTGCTGCTACTGAGGAACCGACATCGGAACCTCCCCCGAAGATGTTTGTTCCTACGGGGTGCCCAACTGGTGCTGATTTCAAGGTCGAGAAAACCTCCTCGGTACCGGGTCGGTGTGAACCGGTCTCGAGATATATATGTTCGGTCACCGATAGTTTCCTTTCCAAGGTCAAGGAGGATTGCAACTGGGTTAATAAGCACGTGGTGGTCACCACGCCCGAGGAAGTGATTGCTACCCACGTGGAGGTTTTTTTTAAGTGTTTACACTTATCCCTTCACGCTGGGCCCCTTGGATCCGGTCATCATTGCCTTTTGTAAGAGGTACGAGGTGACCCTCGGTCAAATTCATCCTTCTTTCTGGAGGATAATAATTCTCCTCCAAATCTTCGTAAGCAAAATCGAGGGGTGCCCCTTCACCATCGACCATTTCATGCGTTTGTATAGTCCCCGACTCTATCGAGGGGGATTAATCAAACTTGTCCGTCGGGCTAGTAAGGCCCCATTCTCGAGCATCGACGAGGATCGGGACTGAGGCTGGTTAGGCCGATTCGTCCGAGTGAAGACCTCGAATTTAATCCCGGCCAAGTATATGCCATTTCTTGAGAAATGGAACATGACACGTAAGTATAACCTTGCTCTCAAGATTTCGTTTATCGCTTTTCTTTTTCTTCCCTTCTCATCGATGTTTTGTGGTGGTGCAGCTGTTGCTCGTATGCCGGATGTAGTTCCTCAACTCAAGTAGTGGGTCGAGGGCATCATGTTCCAAGAAACCATATTCCGAGCGCGCATGGCGCGAACTTTCGAAGGGCCAGTGGGAGGCCCGTTCTCATGGTGAGATTCTGTTCTCGTGTGAACAACACTTAGGTTTCCTCCGTGTTGCTGAGCCCTTACTCATTTTCCTTTTCCTTGCAGGTCTTCCCAAGGATGTTGCAATGAGGCCTCATCTGGTGGCGAGGATTGCCCCTCTGAGTCCCCTTCTTCGAGACAGGGTGAGGAAAAGAAGAGAAAAAGGGCTCCGAGTTCTCCGAACTCAGAGAAGAAAAAAACGAAAAGGAGGCTGGTGCGCAAATCCAAGGAAAGCACCAGCGCCCGGGTGATCCCATCGGACTCACTCAATCGGCTGAGGAACGAGTCCGAAAAAGAAGAAGAAGCTTCCGTACTGGTGGCCCGCGTGCGAAGCGATACCAAACTGCCTCAAACCAGAGTGGCTGATAAAGAGGCAGTGACCAAGGCCTCTGAACCAGAGAGGGGCGAGGCCGTTTCGCCCCGAGCTGGGGAGGTCGACAAAGAGACCACGACCGGTGCTTCTCGGGCAGAGGATAACGTCCCGAAGGATGCACTTGGGGTGATAGATCTCTCCGAGTCGCCCTCATTTACCGATTCCATGATCAACGAGGCCCAGATGTTGAAAGGACGCCCAAATGAGGGGCCCCAAGGGGTGGCAGACTCTTTTAACAACTTCTTTGATGGCTTAGATTCTACCGCCTCGGAGGACGTCACCGGGTTGGGTGACTTACCGGTACCAAAGAAGAGACCGTCTTCGGGAGCCACCGGGCCTTCTTCAAGTCCGAAATTAGAAAAACCGGTTCCCAGCTCCGAGCGCAGATCCTGATCGAAAGTGGTCAATTATTATGTCTATTCCGGAGGATGCTCGGGTTCTCTTTGCCCCCGTGGGGGTTGCCAGTTATTTTCGGTGCTTGGTGACCGAAGAGGATCAAGCCAAAATGGACGAGGTGGAAGCGCCCTGCCTGTTCAACAAAGCACAACAGGCGTTAAATTGGGTAACTTTGAATACCTTTTGTCGACCTTTATTATGTACTCTAAATCAAGTCGCAAACAATCGTAACCCTTTTCTTTGTGCTTGCAGGCCTCGGTGCTTCATGACGAGACTTTTCTCCGACATTGGGAAGAGTTAAACCAACACGAGGCCGAGACTCGAGGGCTCACTGAGAAGAGGGATGCTTACAAACTTCTCAGTAAGAAACTCCAGGCTGGGCTAGAGGCGGTCTGGAAGGAACATGCCGACCTGGTCGAGTAGGTAAGAAGAGTATTTGAAATTAGTGACGATGAGTCAGACACGGTGGCTAACGGTCCGAACCCGCAGGTTCAAAAGAAACTTGATCAGATCGAGCAGCTCCAGGCAGACGTGGATGCAGTAAAGGCCGAGGCCGAAGAATGAAAAAGAAACATCGATCGCTTGACCTCGGAAAAGGAGGCTGCCCGGGCACAATTTACTTCGGCTGAGGTTCAACTTCGGACTACAAAGGAAAAGGCCTTGGTGCAGGCCAAAAAGGTCGAGGGGCTCTAGTCTCAGCTGAGTTCGGCTGTCTCTGATCAAGAAAATCTGGCCAAGGAGCTTGAGGCGGCCAATCAGAGGTTGTCGTGGTCAAAGCCGAAGCTGATGAAAGGGTGGCCCAGCATAAGGCCGATGCCGAGGCGGGGTTTTGATTTATCGGCTTAGATCAATGATGCCAAGGTGCTCGAAGTCGCGGCTAGGAAGCTGGCCTATCCCGAGGAGGAAGATTCCGAGGAGTCTGAAGATTCAGGTGAGTCCGAGGGCGGCGGAGACCCCAAAGGTGATGACGCGGCCCCCGACGAACACTAGGCCACTTAGAATCTTTTTAGATGTTTTTGTCTTCTGCTTTTGGTTGAGGCCGTTCGGCCTTTGTAAAATTTGTGTCAGGGCTATTGATATGTATATATAAGGCTTTTTCCCTTTCACAGCTTTTGAATTTTCCCTTTGCTTTATTGTGTGTGTTCGCAAAGATCGAAATGCCTTAGCATGAAATAGTTAGGTTATGTTCGAAGGTTCGAACAAACCTTGCCTTTAACATTATTTAGTTTTAAGGCATCATGGGGATTCGGTATTACCGGAAACTTTTTCCCAAAGTAGTTTAGTTTGCCGAGGGTAGCCTTTAGAACCGGTTATGGAATTTTTTGAAGGCCTCGTTTTTGTTGCGAGTCTCGGACGTCTCCGAGCCGTGTTAATATGGCCATAGACTTTTTAGTTCGGGTGTCGTCCAGTGGGCTAGCTGTCTCGAGTTATCCGGGCTTACCTAAGATAACAGTCTCCGATTGGGGGTGGCCGTGGCCTTTGAAATTCGGGCGTTGCCTAATAGGTCTTATGCCCCCCCAGGTCTGATAGCTCGAGCCGTCCGAGTTTGTTTTCGGACGGCAATCCCCGAGTGAGAGTGATTGTTCGAACTCGGATTAAGGTGGCCCTTGGGCTCGATACCCTTAGGGGATCGTATGTAGGAAATTCTTTGAAAAATGCAAGAAAAATTTTAAAGGACAAGATGTTTGTGCGCAAGGAAGAGACCTCTTTTCATTCTTGTGCATAATAGTTATACATGTATACATGCTTTGTGCCAGGGTTTGAGCAGTCTATGTGGGCACGGTTCATTTGACCTTTTGGCCTTTACAATAAATCCTATCGATTGAGACCTTTTATCACGAAGTCTCTTTCCTTGCTAAAGTCGATATTCGAGGGTAATGCCCCTCAGTGTTCGGGGCTGATCGAAGAGAGGCCTCGAATGTTGTTGTCACCGGTTCGTAGCCGGCCTTCAATTCTAAGTTAGCACGATTTA